CGCGCGTGACTTTACTCTTGTCGACTGTTTACTCGAGCGTTGCGTACTTTTTTATAAACGAATCTTACCTTACGTCCCGATATGGCGTGCGATGCGGAGAATGTACGTCGGTATGTTACAATTTCCGGCAGCTGATTCGAATATTTCGTACATGAGCGCCCTCACCGACGTGGAGAATTATAAATAGAACTACAATGTGATCTCTTTTGGTTGCATTTTGCACTTTCCGTGCCATTTTTGTACTTTATATTATCTTGCAATCTTTGTACTTCTCCTTCTTATTTATATCGAATCATGGAATACGTACTTAATTTGTAAGCATAGAACACATGTCTGAAAAATATCCTATATAATAATAATACAATGGAAACTCTATTGAAATTTGATGGAATTAGCAGAATTAATGCAGAACCAATATTCCGACACGTGATATTTTTTCTTTTTTGATTATTTTATGGCAAGTTTAGTATATACAGGTTATATCTCAGGTTTTAATCTTTCCGTGGAATTATCTCCCAAACTTTTTCGAGAAAATGTTCCAGATGAAATATGACTTACTCAGTTTTAAAGGGAACATCCTACGCAATGAACATATTATTTTTAGGTGAAGGCACCTCCAAAATTTCAAAGCGACTTTTACTAGTTTCTTTTTCTTCTCTCTCTCTCTCTCTCTCTCTCTTTCTCTCTCTCTCTCTCTCTCTCTCTCTCTTTCTCTTTCTCTCTCTCTCTCTCTCTCTCTAATGAGACTATTTCTTTTTGATTATAGTCCCATAGTTACCTCTGAAACAAGTTCGTCGACACATGACACATGGGTCCCCCAAGATCATTATGATTGATCATTCAAAATTTATCTTAGTCGAATGGCTAAAAAACTTTTCTTAACGTAGAAATAGTCGGCACGATTGTAAGGGTAATATTAACTCATATAAATGATATGAATTCCCGGAGCTCGTGTTTACAAACACGATACTTTTATTAAGACATTAGATTGTAATTTTTTTCATGTTATTAATATATTATTTTAGTATTACTCGTACTTTCTTCCTGTAGCGAATGAATTTATAATAGGTTATCCGCCTAATAAAATTATCGAGCTCTTGATTTTGTGTGAGCGTCGGTAAAGTTATGGGGAAGCTAGGCAGTTGTTTTGCAGTCTGTCGACATTCTGGTCGACATGTGGTGATTCGCAATTGTAAACTTCGTGCTCGGCAAGCATTTTTGCAGTGGCACCGCAATGCGCTGTTTGGAAGATTCGAAAATTGTCATCCTCGCAACGATAGTAGTAGATCCACGTATCAGCATTCGTTTCATAGAGAATCACTAAGACACAGAGAAATATTAAGACGATATCACATTCATCATATATCCCTGCATCAAGCGTTAACTAATGCCGACTGTGCAACTAGATTGCGGTTTCGTCTCATGGACTCGGTGAAAAATATTACATGACCTCTTCTTCCTTCGTGCTATCTCCCGACAAAGCCACTTTCAACAGCAGTGGACAAATAAATAGACATAATGCCTGTTATTGGCCGGACACGAATCCGCACTGGCATTGAGCGTTTGAATGTCAGCATCAGTGATCGTTGAACGTTTGGAGTGACGTAAACGGCCACTTAGCGGACCTACATTTTTTTAACGGTACGCACTGACTGGAACCCGTTATAACGATTTTCTAATCAATGAACTTCAACTACTTCTGGAAGATGTCCCACTCGCTACCAGAGTACGAATGTGATTTCAGCATGACAGTGCTCCTGCTCGTAGTGACCGCAGAGTTCGAAGAGCGCTCAATAACATTTTTCCTGGCCGTTGGGTAGGAAGAGAAAGTAAAATACCTTTTTCACCGAGGTCCCCGGATCTGACGCCTTTAGATTTCTAGTGGAGCTTTTTAAAAGATAAAGTTTACCGGGAAGAGCCCACCACATCAGATAATATGAGAGACCAGATCACGTATATCTGCCAAGAAATTACCCGAGTAACTTTGAAAGGAGTAGAGCTGTCATTCAATGGCAGAGTCGGCCAAGGTCTTTCTTCTGGGAACAGAAGATAAGAAAAATTTTCAGGCCGTTTAGCTAAGATAGACTTTGAGTGACCTTATCAATCGCAAATGATTTGGAGAGACCTATATATTATGGGTTAATAAACTCGTGTTGGATGGGCTTTAGGACTAGTTAAAAACAATATATATATATATAGTTTTATTTTAAGAAATAAAAGTCACTTTGAAATTTCGGACGTGCCTACACTTAAAAAAAAAGAACTGTGCTCGTTCTCCTCGAAATTGAGTAAGTTTTACCTGAAATATTTTATTTTTTTCGAGTAACAAGTATAGTTTAGAAGATAATTGCGTAAAAAAATTTAAATGCGTATATGGCAATTATATTTAATATATTCAATTTTTATGTCATTTTTTACCGAGTCTGCAACGCAATTATTAAAAACTTGATGAATGTTTAATTTGTATCCGGCACATTTTTACATGCAAAGTGGCCATAAAATGTACGACTGAATTTAAAAACTGCAATAGGGACCTCATATAAAATATTAGGTGTACAAATGAATAATCCAATTTTTTCAGCTACATTCAAGGTTTATTTTAAAAGAAAGTAAATTAAATTATTCAATCAAAGTGTTCGCCGTTGCTTTCTATAACTTTAAGCATCTTTAATCTTTCAGGCAGCTGATGAATTCCATCTCGGAAAAATGTTACGTCTTTGGACACGATAAAGTCGTCAAGCCATTTTCAGATCTCATCCACTGATTGGAAGTGCATATCGGACAAGGCGTGTTGCATCGACCGGAACAAGTGATAATCGGATCGAGCAATGTCTGGTGAATACGCCGCAAGTGCTGCAAGACGTCCCAGCCAAGACTCATTAGGTGTCTTTTGTATTGGAAGCAATGTATGGCCTGGCGTTGTCATGTAACAATTTCACTGGACGTTCTCCTTTGCCAGTATACGGGCGTTTTCGTTCCAATTCTTGACTCAAGCAGATTAATTGACGTTGGTAGCAGTCCGCAGTAACTGTTTCAACCGGTTCCAACAACTCATAATAAATCACGCTCTTGATATCCCACCAAATGCAGAGAAGAACCTTCTTTCCGAAGCGATTGGGTTTTGCGACCGATTTTGATGATTTGCCGGGATTTACCCATGACTTTCTGCGTTTCGGATTGTCATAGAGTATCCATTTCTCATCGCCCGTAACGATTTTCCACAAGAAAGACTTTCGACGCTGCTTATTGAGAAGAGAAAGACACGCTGCCACTCGTTGATTTTTGTTGGTTTCAGTGAGTTCATGCGGTTAGGCACCCATTTTTCTTCTTTCTGGATCTTTCCCATCTGATGTAGGCGTTTGGAAATCGTTTGCTGCGTTACTCCCAACTGTTCTGCAAGCTCTTTTTGTGTTTGTGCCGAATTCTCAGCGAGCAGTTGTTCCAAATCATCATTATCGCACTTCGGAGGGCCTCTAAGGCGTTGTTTGTCGATTAGACTAAAATTACCGCTTTTAAACCGCTTAAACCAAAATGCGCACACATCGTACGATGTACAACACCTTCGCCGAGAAAGGAACAAATCGATTCGCGCGCTTTTGCAGCATTTTTTCCTTGTTGGAATTTGTAAAGATGCAGTGTCGGATATGCACCTTATCTGTTGCCATTTTCGACTGTACTGAACTGAATACTTTTGAAGGTTATGTTGGGCCTTTCGCCAAACTATATATTCTTTTTAATAGCTATATGTCAACATTGCATAATCACAAAAGAGCGGGAAAATCTATTCAATTTAAAATTAATTTCGTAACTGCTTAAAATAATTTGGATTATTCATTTGTACATCTAATATAGCGTACAGACATGGCGTGTTTTGCGATAAAGTATCGGAGAAGCATAATTAGGGCGAGTATAATTTCACTACACGAGGATGTTACTTTATTCATTATCGGGCGTTGCTCTTAGTAACTTCAATGACAAATCGCTCGCTTTATACTTTCTTCATTCGTTTACACACCATCATTTATTAATTTCTGCAAACGCAACAAAATGTTCATTTTTAGCTCGCAAACCACGAATGACGAAGTAAACTGCAAAGCCGGAAGATGTTAAGTTATTAATAAAAATATACAGCCCTAAAAGGTTCCATATTAAATAAGAATTTACGAGAAATGTCTTCCCTCTCTCTCTCTCTCTCTCTCTCTCTCTCTCTCTTTGAAAGCAAAGCGCGACTTAAAAAAAAAATAAATTAAACTGCGTTGAATTTAATGGACGGTAGCATATTTAATAGTTGCTCTCCATTAAAAACAAAAGCCACTAAAAACAGGTTGTCACTTAGCGTTCCTACTAGCTACGTAAACATCGGTCATTAAATTAGGGTACTCTACGGGAAAAATTGATTTGAATAAAGCAAGAAAGCACGCATTCAAATCAATAAGTTTTATATTATTTTACACTTGCTATTATTGACGATGAAATTATTCTGATTGTATTATACATTTATCTTTATTAATCGATAAAGAGAATTTTCATCCTTCTCCAATGCACAGGCTAAAATTATTCATTCCTCTTTTTGTACGATAAATATTTGTTTAAATTTTACATTGTGAGAGTGAGTTAATATCATTAAAATTATATACATAGTATCTTGAATCCAACTGTATCTTTTTTGTTCTAACGAAAAAATAGTTGCAATACACATATATGATTATTCCATCGCCAATATTATAGTAATACTTATAAAAATGGTTCTCTTATGACTATGATTCTTTCTCATTACGCGATTAAAGTTACAAATGCCAAACACTTTTTTCAACATCTTACGTACCGTTAGATCTTAATGAGCTATATTATATGCCGAATAAGCTAATAAATTAAGTTGAACTAATGTTGATTTTTTCTGAATCGAGAAAAAAAACAGCTTACGGCTGAGGCATACGCCTTTACGCCTTTAAAATACTTTAAGAAGAATTATATATAGTTTATTGTGTTTCCGTTCTTAGTATCTAATGCCATGACCGAGTACTTTGGCGAGGACCTGAAGATAACAAAGATCTCGCGGAACGAGATGGGAGTTTATCTGTGCATCGCCAGTAATGGCATCCCGCCCGCGGTCAGCAAACGTATTTTTATCAACGTTCATTGTGAGTAATAGCGGTTACCGTTCGGACAACGTCCGACAGAGTTCCGTTGCACTTCGATCCCGCCGCCCACCGAAAATGCAATCGTATCTTCCGATTTCGTTTACAGTTTCGCCGGTGATTCACGTGCCCAATCAGCTGGTCGGCGCGCCTTTGGGAACCGACGTGGTCCTGGAATGCTTCGTCGAAGCGTCCCCAAAGTCGATCAACTATTGGGTCAACGACAAGGGTGAGATGACACGCTTGGTTCATTCACTAAAAACTCTCGTATTGCGCGCCGTAAGAGGTTCAAGTTTCCCGGTACCGCGGTACTTCGGCGCTACGATATTTTAGCGTAATAGCGCGGCAGACTGGCGCGCGTCGATCGCGACATCAGATTAGAGGACATCAAAGGACACGCCGCATACTTCCTCGTATCGTTTGTGTATCAGTTACAGTTATTACGGAGATGTTGTTTATAGACGCTGAAAGAGATGTTCTCGATACGTCGTATTGATAAAATATAAATATAAATATTGAGAAAAATACGCTACATTTAGCGAGACACAGATGGAGCTTATGGGCAGACTAAAAATATATTTAAGGGAAAAGGAAAGGGACGAAAATTTTAGCGATACGCTGCGGTTTGATCGTACGAGCTATTTGATCGTACATTTTCAATTACGAATTTCTTTTCCTCAACATTTCATGCAGAATAATATCGACGTTCAGATCCTTTCGATTCGACACGTATCTCTTGAGTTACACGATAAGTGCGTTCTCACGAATAGCCATGCAACTTTAAAGCCGCCAACTGGAAATAACTTCCTCCGCAAAGCCTCTTAACTCTTAATCTTGATACCCCACACGTGCATATGCATGTGTTATCTATTATTCAACGATACGACGTGTATTGATTTTAATGAAGAAATAATGATAAAATGAATAGTAACACGCTAACGATTTATGTTGCGCTTCCTCGCGGAATAAAGTTATCGAATGCGACGATGAATAATTCAGAAACTATACTCCAATTCGCGGGCGCACACGCGAATAAATCGCGTCCACGTTGAAGCAACTCGACCGGCGCGCTACTTGCCGCAAATAGCACGGTCCGTTACAGCGGCGATTGGTTTGTTAACTAATTACCGACTGTAACAAGCGGAGAAATGTTCAAACGTTAATTACCCTCGCAAGACAAATCCGATTATGGCCCGTACTTTATAGTCTAGGCGATTCCGATGTACAAGGGTGGAAGATACCACGCGAGTACAGGCTATCGAACGCTATCGCGCATTCCCTTCCCATATCATCGGCGCATCGGGGAACTTATTCGGCGTAATTGAAAGCCTGCGCGCGCGCGCGCGAGTGCGCGTAAGTCCCTCCCGTTCTAAGCTAATTTTCTCGGAGTGTCCCAGACGCGATGCGCGCACGAGATAACACGCGCGTGTACACACGACGACGGTAAGAAGCAGCGGCTCTTCCATCGGGAACATTGAAAAATTAGTTTCGGTATCGCAAATTGCTTGACTACGCGAGCAGTCACATATCACAGCGATATATAATATCGCGGCTCAGAGAGAATTTCCCGGGAAAACTTTAGATAGATATAAGAGAATACTACTTATTCAGACTCGCGGAAATATTCCCGCGGTGGATTGCGTCTTGCAGGAGAGCAGACGTCCTCGCTGCCGGTTTAACACACGCTCAGCTATCCGGAGCTCTTCGCTCCAACGCATTCGTATGCAATTTCGTCTCGCGTGGAAGATACCTTTCACTTGTTTCCCATTATATGCAACTGTTTCAACGTGTAATAAGAAAGCATAGCGGCGAACCGGCGAGAGATGTCTTATTTATAGTAGAAGATGTAACCTCTCTGGTGCCTTCAACTTCTCGCAACGCGCGCGCGCGCCCGCGAGCGCGATGGCGTCTTCTCTCTGGAGTTTAATTAAAATAATTCGAAACGATTCAGCTAATCCAAAGCAAATGCACGCAGCGGTACACCCTTGGATTTTATCGTATTACCAGAATACTATCATCGAAATAATTGAATAAACAGAATAATGATCAAGACGAACAGTTCGTTGCGGTGTTTGTTTGGCTGAATTCAAATATCCTGGAAATAAGTGCGATTGTCGGAAGAAACTTTAATTATACATTCCAAATGCATTCCGTAAATGTTACCCGCATTCTCCGAACGCGATTCACTTGTCCCGTGACATACACCTTTTGCTTCTCTCTCTCTCTCTCTCTTTCTCTCTCTCTCTCTCTCTCTCTCTCTCTCTCTCTCTCTCTCTCTCTCTCTCTCTCTCTTCTAATCGCACATACGATCGGTCGGTCGACGGAAGGTTGCTTGTTGTTGCCGGCGTGTCAATCGATAGAAATGCATGCTCTCTCGTGGAGAAATTCGTGTCGTTCGCGGCCTCGTGTCTATTCTATCGGAATCGGGATAATCAACTTTGCTCCCCGCTTTGTTCCCAAGGCGCGATGATAATATCCAGCGTCAGGCACGACGTACAGGCAGTGGCGAAGTCGCAGTTCGAGGTCCGGATGATCCTCACCATCCGGAACCTGCAGAAACACGACGTGGGAACGTACCGGTGCGCGGCCAAAAATTCCCTCGGCGATGTCGAGAGCAGTATTCGATTATACGGTGAGTACACAGCGCGTTTTCGACCCGTTATCAAACGAAGTTTCCCGGGGAGCCCATAAAGAATACCTAATTCGGTTACACGACGGAACGCAGTCAAAACGGGCAGAATTTCGTTATCTGCGCTGCATTTCGTTTCAATACACGTGTACATTCTTCCCACCGTCTGTGTTCTCCCCGCCGTCAACCCCCTCAACTGCCCGCCTCAACCATTCTCCTCTCGCTTCCGCGTAGTTCCGTGTGTCTACTCTCTTTTCGATATTCGTGAACACCGGGGATTAAGATCCGTGCCGCGAAATAAAATCCGCGGGTAGACCGCGGATAATTGCGCGCGGCGCGGGCAGGCCGCAGGACGATGAAAAGTTCGCCTCCGCGGCCTGTGAATGAATTACCGTACTTATAATCGCGCGCGGTAAGTGTGGCGCGTACCGCGATTAATTTCCCGCACGTTCCCGGCTGATAACAATTATTTCCTCGGAGATAACGCTGCGTCGGGATTTATTAGTACCGGCCGCGCCCGGGCGTTTCTCGGCTCGGCTCTGTAGACGTGGAAAATTGTATTTCGTGACTAATATCTGGAAAATCGTAGCGAGTATATCGGAGACCGGCGCCGAGGGAGGGAGGGGAGTCATTTGCTCACGTTCACGGGCGGGCGTTTAAAGCGAGACGATGCTCCCTCTCCGTGCCTGACTATGGCAAAAGGCAGCGCGAATCGCAATCGAATCGGACTCCGCTGTGCTTCGAGCGCTCGTTATTGCGGCGTGTTCCGCAAGATTTCCGCCGGAACTTCCCGTCGGACCGGCAAGCGAGTCGCGTGAATCAAGCCCCCGGTCGGGGCGACGTCCGAGAAGCTCTCGTCCGACATTAAATAAAGAATAAGACTCCGCCGTACAATATCGCCGAGTTCTCTCGCCGAAACTCCCCTGCTCCCTCCCCCCCCCGTCCTCCCTTGCCAATCCCCGATATGAACGCCAACCCCATTGCCGTTTTTACGCCCGGAGATTTAAAGTTTTACCGGAGAGGGTAAAATCCTCTCGTCTCCGCGAGCCCGCCGTGTGTTTGCCGCTGGGGCCAACACGCGTTACGGCGCAAAATGCGCTGTACGCCGGTGCGTAGCTGCGTACGAAACGATCTTACGGGCCGCGGCCGGGTAACAAGGCTCTCGACTGCTCCCGCAGCGCGCGGACCAAGTACGGCGCGCGGTGAAACGGCTTTTTGCCACGTTGCAACTCGGTTACACTCATGGTGTATCTCGCGTGGCGACGGAGCGCGGCGAGGCGAGGGGTGAAATCTGCTCTCGCGCCGCACGACCTGTTATTCCTACATTAATGCGGCGGGTCGCGAGGTTAACGAGTCCTCCGTACCGGCAGCTCGACGTGGAAATTGTTGCTCGAGTCTCGACCGCGCCGCGCTCTCTCAGCCGAGACTGATCGCGGGATGATAGGAATAAGAGGGTTTCCTCCTTACGGCAAACACGCCTCGCGTGTACAAGCATCGTCACTTTGCGGACGGAAACCTCCGAGGATCTGCCTCCTATATCACAGCGGTAGACGCCCTTCGGTCAATCCTCATCTTTTCGCCAGGACGCGCGCGCGCGATGTCGGATTTCACGGCTGGCTTGCGACTCTCCCGGGATACGTTCACTTGGGGCGGGGGGAGGGGGGCGCAGGCTTGCAGAACGCGAGTGCACCTTGCGCGCTTTCGTAAATCGTCGTGCGTTATCGACCGATCGATTTCGAGAGCAGGCTCTCCAGCCGTTACGCCGGACCTAAGAATCGACGTATTTGCGTGGCGGAATTGAAAGGTGACGGTACAAGAGAAAAAGGAAGAAAGAAAGATGCGCTCGCAACAGCTCCATTCGCGTTTTCGGCCCGCTGACTGACTGACTGACTGACTGACTGACTGACTGACCGACCGCCTGGCGCTAACAGGGTCCTCGCAAAGTCGAAAATAATATAAAGTTGACGAAGGAAGATGGCGTCCGATCGATTTTCGTCGTGGGACAATCTGCGCCCGAGAACCGCCCGATGGGATACACTTCCAGGCGTATTCGAAGGAAACTTTAGAAAACACGCTGTACATACACGGATGTTGTACGCACGTGTCCACCCGCGGCCGCTATTAAAGTCCCTGCATGGGAGTAGCATGCATGTGGGTTAAGCTGTCTTATCTCCGAGCGCCTCTCGACCTGACCTTTTTTCCTTTGTTCACGATACTCCCGACGGGTAAAGTTTGCAGCGTAAGTGTCAGAATTCTCGGGGATAAGCGCCGATAAATTCGCAATGTTGTCACTCGTCGAAGCAACGACTACGGGGCTACCTCGAGGTTCGTCCCGAGGTGATGCAGAGATACGCGAGTATCGGCGTTGCGAGAGAGCCTAATCTGTCCATCGTCGCGCTGATGATGATCGTTGGAACGTGGCCGGTGATCGCTCGACGTCGCAGCTTCATTTGATACTTGGTTCGGTCGCGCGACGATAGAACAGCATTATTCTACGAGCCACGGCTGCGAACCGCTCTCCGCAGTGTCTCCGCGAGTGACCGGGGGCATTTCCACGCCTCCTCGCCTCGCCGTAACTCGTAAGTGTTTCTTGCCCGCAGCCGGAAACCGCGTTTCTTCCCGCTGTTGCAGATATCGCCGCGCCGGCGAAGACGCAGACAGCGGTGCAGCTGTCGTTCGAAGACGAGGAGGACGAGGTGGTGTACGGCTCGGCGGAGATAGACAAGATGGAGAACAGGCCACTGCCGGTGGACAACACGGTGCACGGACACGTGGGCTCAGCGTCGGTCGCCACGCCGTCGTCCGCAATCCGCGGCGGCAAGAAACGGCCGATGATCAACGCGAAATCGGGCAGCGACCCGTGCCCGCGGCGCTTCTCTGTCGTCTTGTCGTCGCTGGTGTCGCTGATGGTCGTCTGCCGGAGGTGGTGGTGGTGAGAGGCGAGAATACGCGAGCCGAGAGCGAATCTCAAGGAGAGCGGGTCGTGGCACCGATTTCGGCGACAGCGTAACCACATTTGGAGAGGCGTGTCACTCAATCGACACTCGACGACACAAGTTGTTCCGAAGTTGCTTCTGTCGCGGCCTGCTGAGTGAGCTCCGGCAAAGGGAGACACGTCGGCGACGTGCCTCGTCGTTGACCAGGCTGTCGGGTTGACTCTTTTCGAAGGCAGCTCCGGTAAGCTATTCTTCGAACGCGTGACTCTTTGATTCCAGTGGCTGATCAGCGGCGGCGGCAAGTCGCGTGGAACGAAGCACAGGCGTGCATCTCACGCTCGGCGAAACGCCGTCCTCGCGTAGGAGGCATGAACGCGAATTTCGGGCTTCGTTGAGCGCTCAACAACTCGCTCGACAATACGCGACGGAAGCAGCTTCGGGCAGGCTTAAAAGTCTCCTCACCGTCACCCCCACCACCACCATCGCTTACGACGACGTATCGTTGTCCTCGAGCGGCTTATTCGTAATCCGTAGACCTAATCAATGCCGGAAGCTCGCGGAAGGGATGAACCAGGTGGGGTCGAAGACGAACATACGCGACGCGGGGCGTATCTTGATCGTTGCGACTTAACGATTGCATCAGGGACCGATCGGTGAGTGCTACGTTAATTCAATTCTGAGCTGACGTTCTCAGATGAGCAGCTTCTCATGATTTCGCTCGGTGCTATTCTTCACATACTTTAGGCAATACCCCCGATTTCCTCATTTGTACAAATTTGATTCATGTAAACGCGACGTAACCTTATCTTGCGACGCATTCGCGCCTGTCGCCGTCTCATTTGCCGTCTTCTCTCTCTCTCTCTCTCTCTCAGCGGCGATTAATAGAAAAATTAATGCACGACTGGCTGTCGAGCAAAGCAGCGAATTTTACGCGACAGACGATCGATCCTCTCTGCGCTCGATCACGCATTATCGAATTATCAAATCGAGCGCGAACGCTCGGTCGATCGAGGTACCTTCGCGCATGCGCGCGCCGGTGTATCGGATAATACAAAGTAGCGACAAAGGAGCGACCAAAGCACGAGGGAACACGAGAGAAGACAACGAGAAGCAATAGAGACCGAAGGCCGGAAAAAAGAGAGAGGACACATCTCACGAAGCGGCGACAGTCGTCGCGCGACGTCCCGCGGCATTCCCGCCAATCGGGAAAGCATAACTCTTCAGTTCCGGCGGCGTGACACACAAATCTATGTGCGCGATGTATATATGTACGTGTATCATATAGCGGGCACGCGCTTGCACGTGTATATGTGTGCATACTGACACGTCAGGGTAACTAACACGTTCGTGCCACTTAAAGCCCTGGATTAAGAAGGAAGCGCAAGCGTTACCCTCTCTTCATGCTTTCTATGGTCGCCATGTTGGGCCCACAGCTGTTTAGTGGTCTGCTCTTTTTAATTGCACTGCTGAACTGATGCGATAAGTTAGGGTGAGAAAAAATGTAGTGGTCTCACTTTAACTTACTGCAGCAGTTTAGCAGTGCAGTCCAAAAGAACAGACCACAAAAGCAACCTGCGTGTCTGATGTAAAGTCAATCGTAAGTGTCAATTGTAAGTCACTCAGAAACGCTCTTATTTTAATTCCAACGTTGTAATTAACATTAAATAAGAGATTCTTGAAATTATGGAATATCATATCGAGTTGAGAAATACAGACCACCTTGATACATGATACATCAATATTTCATTAAAGTAAGTGAGGTTATTATCATAATATGATTTTTTTTGTTTGTCTCATAGATGTCTAAAATGTTTTTTATAAGGAAATAACGTTACGAATATATTATTTTGTCACATACGATACGCCAGTTGAGATTTGGTTTCACACGAGATTCATTACGGGACCAATATGGCGGTCAGCCAATCAGCAAACGAGACCTCGCTCGCGCTTCTTTCTTAATCTAAGGCTTTAGTGCCACCTACACCTCCCCCCTCCCCGCCGCTCCGTCAGCGAATACGCGCGAGCGGCGTAGCGATTTCATAGGTAGCCTCCTTGTACGATCGCTGGTGTGTAATAGAATATGTATATCGCGATTATAACGAATATCGACGCAGCTTTAAACCGAGTTCGGAAGGCCCGGAAGTGGCGAGGCCGCCTCGCGTGCGAGCTTCGTCCGTCTCGGCGAATCCTCTCGATCGACCCCACCCCGCCGGACCACTCGCGATTGCCGAAGAGAGCGGCCCCGAAGTTCTGCCCGCCACACGCCCCAGTCGCGGACGCGCGATCGCACCTCTTCTCCTTCTCCTTCCGCTTTCTCTTCTTGTTTTCTTCGTCGCCAAGTTTTCCCCTCCTCGTGTTGCACGTTGCCGTTGCCGCCTTCGCTGCTGCTCATTACTCGAGGGTTTTCCGCGGCGCTGATTACCCAACGGCTCTCGACAGTGAAACTCCGCCGATGGTCAACGTGGAATTAAGTGTGACCCTTTCGAGGAAGGTTTATTTCGGAGAGCTCCGCCGGAGCTTTCGCCGACTCGGATATCTCGGCGACTCTCGATAAAGAAACTCCGCGGTGAGTGATTTTCGATGACCGGTAGAACTCAAGTGTTCCACTTTCGAGGGAGAGAGAGAAAGAGCGACCATAGATATTAGAATTCTCCGGTTCAAGTCAAATCGAATGATATTCAACGGGTATTTACGCGGGAACTTTGTTCTTCGAGAGCGACTGTCGAGATCGTAAAGCTCTGGGTTCTGATTGGAGATTGAAATAAACGACGCTAAGAGCATCTATTTAAAAGCTTTTTTTTTCGCTTTTTTTCTCAGAGACAGAAATGATGTAATGATATAAAAAACTCAAACGTATACTTTGTAAGACACTGTGACAAGTAGTAACTGTTCGCAAAACTAAACAAAGAGCGGATAATACATTTGTAATCCGAAAATAGTGAGCAACAAGGCCGCACATGTGCGCGAAGAATAATTCCAGTTTTCTCACATCAGACGGCTTAGTGACAAGACAATAAATTTTCACTATTTTCATGCCGGTGAATCTGACATAGTATTTCGGGCTAACGGAACTAGATATTTTTGCAAACGCATCGGTTGGCCGTGTATTTTCAGTTCCGAGGGGACACAGACCTTTATATAGGAAATATGACATGAAACTTATTATTTCACCTGCACAGCCCCGACATGTAAAATGAAATTATCAGCAAAAGTATAAAAAGTAACAATTATAAAATGACGTTGACGCGTTTCCAGTGAACCAAGTGAATACACATAGAAAATACTTGCGACAATAACGATATTTACGACGAAGTCTACGTTGCGCGTGAATTGCCGTTTGTGATTATTTAGGAGCAGTCTAATCAAAACGCAACGTGTACCGACGACAAGTCTCGTCGATCGCGCGTTCTACGATCCGATATCCGGTCTGATATCCGATTGCTCGTTTCCGGCGTGAGCGAAACAACTCGTAAGTGTTCGATCCTTTTTTTGACACGCGAGTTGCTCCGGGCAAACGTGCCCAAAAATGCGCGCGCGCACGTGTGTGTGTGTGTGTGTGTATGCGTGTGCGTGTATGTGAAAGAGAGAGAGAGAGAGAGAGAGAGAGAGAGAGAGAGAGAGAGAGAGAGAGAAAGAGAGAGAGAGAGGAAGAGAGAGAGAGAGAGAGAGAGAGAGAGAGAGAGAGAGAGAGAGAGAGAGAGAGGAAGAGAGAATGTAAGAGAAAAAGAGGAACTGAGAGTAAAAGAGAGAAAATATAAGCGATATTAATTATATTTTTATATTTCTATCCCATAGAGGGCGTGCTTATGTTCCGTAACGATAGATTCTTTAATTACGGTCAGTTTTATTCAGCCACACCGCAGTAACGTCGCTACTGCGTGACGTTTTTGCAATGATTGCTTTAATTACACTAGATGTCGCGCAACAGCGAGCGTCGCGACGTTAATGGCGTGTGAAAAATGTCAGCCGACCGGGCTGTTTTCGGGTCTACATCCTGCATCCTTCGGACGCGGTTCCGCAAAGCGGACCCAGCACGGCCGCACGGAATAATAAAATCGATCGCATCGGCTTCGCCACGCGCCGCTCCCGCCACGACAGAGAGAGAGAGAGAGAGAGAGAGAGAGAGAGAGAGAGAGAGAGAGAGAGAGAGAGAGAGAGAGAGAGAGAGAGAGAGAGAGAGCGTGTTGTATTCACTCGCCTAAATAAATCGGCCGTTCCCGCGGGCACGCGGTTTTTGGATTTTTATAGCGAGCGAAATTGCATCTCGTTACACCCGCGGTTCGTTATCAGATCTCGTCGACAGCTCTCGCAGGCGCCATCGTATATACATACGTATATGCGTGTGTCCAATCTTCGGTGAAATCCATTCCACCATCGCTGCACTCCCCACCGATCTGTCGCTAATGTGTCGCTTCGCGGCCACACTTGTGATTATTCTTAAATAATCTTCTCTCATGCGAAATACTCCTCGGGAGCGGCAGGAGCCAAACACTTTCGCCGTCCTGCCAAATTACAAAGTCATCGGCGAAAGTTCCGAAACAAAGTTCCGAGCGCTACGCGTTCAGATCACAGTCTCTCCGACTGCCGATAAGGACGAAAGAACGTTTCGGCGCCGAAAGGGTCCAGCGTGAAAAACCGTCAGTGTTGTTCCGCTTTATATAAACCGCTTTTGTTTATCCAAATGCGGTTGTTTGATTTTTCTTCCTTTGTTTCATATTTTATTTTTTTCCCGCCGATAGCAGAAATTCTCGCGCAAAAATAAAAAAGAAGAAGAAAGTAGCGAATTCTCCCCTCGTGAGCGCCATTTTCAGAGAAGCGTCGCGCTAATTTGACAGAAACGCTTTATTCGATGAAATATACAACCACACGGGTGTACCGAGGAGGAGAGGGAGAGGGTTAATATTTCAGAAGAACCATTACTCCCCCCGTCGTAGTCCATTCACATTGCTCTACTGAAACGTCGCGTCTGATAAACTTGTCGCTTGCAACGCTTTCCCGAGGAGCCCTTCAATTAACCAACGGCCCATCGCGCGTTCGATGTAATATGCAACGTGTCGCATTCGTCATCACCACCTACGTCGAAATGGGCAGTCATAAAAAAATAAAAAATAAAAAATCTGCGCTCACGCGCAAAGTGTCCTCGAGCGTCCTCGCGAGTGCCAATGAATGGTTGCGCTCTCGGCGTGTGAAAAACAGCGCGTGAGGGGGAGGGTGAGAGAGGGGGGAGGAGAGAGAGAGAGAGAGAGAGAGAGAGAAAGAGAATAGCGAAGCTTTTCCCAGCCAGCGGTCCGAATCGCGCTCGTTTGCGACACGCTCGCGGCTCACTCCCTCTTATTTCGTCGCACGGAATTCTCGTTCTAGGACGATTATCGTCCCTCTTCGGGACCCGACGCGGGCAACGACGTAGAGGCGGGTCGCCTCTCTCTCTCTCCCCCCCTCTCTCTCTCTCCCTCTCTCTCTTTCTCTCTCCCTCTCTCTCCCCCCCTCTCTCTCTCTCTCTCTCTTCCTCCCTCTCTCTCTCTCTCTCGGCCACCGTGAGAAATTATAAGGGCGAATCCGCCTTTAAGGACTACGAAGAAGATCTTAGTTCCACCATAAATAAACACAACTGCCCGCGCAGCTGGCGCGGACGTAATTCATCGTGAATTAATTTAAGGGCCACCACCGCCGCCGCTGCCACCCCCTCGGCGGCCTCCTCCGCGCTTTCATTAGAAGACCTGCCGCCGCTGCCGCTGCGCTGAGGCCGCGCCATTTGGCGGCTCTCGCTTTATGCTGATTTTATTTCCCTTCTTTCGCGAACTCGGGCATCTCGGGAGTAATTGTGCGGTATTATTATCCGCGGGGCGGATAAGGCGGCGTGAACGGCCGCATGAGATACGGCCCCATCGAACCGCGCAAGAGCCGAAGGGATGAGGATTTCACGGCTCACCTCGGAGGTCCTGCCTGCCGTCGCCGTAGCCTCCATTTTCTTCGTCGTCGCGATGCCCGACGACGTCGACGATTCCATCGTACGACTTCTAAACGGGCTTGCCGTTCCGTTTGAACTACGACGCAAAGTCGTCCCTGCAAAGTTGCAGCTGCAGCTGCACGGCCGTCTCTCTTACTCACTCACACATACACACACTCTCTCTTTCTCTCTCTCTCTCTCTCTCTCTCTCTCTCTCTCTCTCTCTCTCTCTCTCTACGTATGGCCGGCCGTAGATTCCGATGTCGCTTCTCGGCCGCTCGCTTAATCCCCGCCGGTTACGCTTATTAAAGTCCCGAGAGGTACGACGTGTAAGCCCGTCGAGGACCGCTATATACAAGGGGGCACGGATAGTTACGTATGCGCGCTGCTTGCACGGCGGTTGGTTTATCGCGCGCTCGCAGTCGGTTCGTTTCGCCATCCCGACGTGCCGCGGACCGAGGATGCAGTTAGCTTCAGAAACGTGCGCTTCAACACGTCGCAACGGAGACGGTCAATGTTGTTCCGCGCGACGCCCGAGTCTCGCTTACGTGCGCGATATTTCCACTCCTCGCACCGCGGGACCAAACAGTTCTTCCGTTGCCGATATTTATCGGCATGACTGTAAGTCGACATAAGTCGATCGGCGAGACTCTCTCTCTCTCTCCCTCTCTTAAGAATCTTACTCTTTTCTAATGTTTCTTTCTTTCCGTCGGCGGTACGTCGTCGGCCCTTGCGTTCACGTTTCTCGGCGCTCGTATATTTTGA